GGTAACGGATGAGCGTCGGGTATAAAAATACTCCGTTGTTACCAAGCATTAACTCGATATCATTGCGGAGGTCGATATTTGTTATTTCTGCCCATTCCAATAACTGGCGTGAATAGGAATATTTCTCCATTATGCCTAGACCTGCGCGTGAAAAAATATAGAAGAAGATTCAACATTAATTCATGACTACTTTACGAAAATCTAATGCTTTTTAATATTGAAGAGTTTTTGAATATTCATGAATATTCATATTCATATGATACCATTTTTTTAATGAAAAATAGAGTTATAATTTAAACAGCAACGGAACAGTTCAGTTGGAATTGGTTGGAAGATTTATAACCGAGGTGCATTCCATGACGCTTTAATAAAATTTGTAATTACCAATACCGGTTTCCGAATAAAAGTTCCTGACAACATTTTCAGGAGTACGCAAAGGTGATTTTCACTTCACAAAATATTCACGCATCGGATTAAAATATTAATGTTATAATTTTATGCTGAAAAACAATTTGGAAGCTTTGGTGGCAGGGCTGAAGTTAACTGTTTAGCTCCCCGGAACAATAGGCAATAAGATTTGGTTTAGCTCCCTCAATGAAATTTGTTTAATATTTATAAAGAAACGACATTTTTAAAATAGGCAAAATGTGGAAAATATAGATTAAACCATTTTTAAAATGTCACCAACTATGAACAGTTTTTTAGTGCCGATCAAATAATAATAATAAAGCAAAAAGATTAACAACCGTTAAAAGTAAATGAAAAATATTGAAAAAGTTGAAACAAAAATCCAACAAATTGCAGGAAGCGTGTGCCGAGGGCAGAGAAGTAGCCATAACAGTAGCTCCAAAAACGGATTCACTTCGTGTTTCATGTTGCCCATCAACATGTTGAATGATACTTTTTCATCATTATTTGACATTTTGCATGCCCAGATTAACAAAGAGTATTTAAACTGCCACCAGTTAACTCTCTCCACTTCACATCCTAGCTGCCTGAAATGATCCACAGCCTGATAGAATTATAAACATTGTTTGTAACAAATGGAATGAATGAAAGAAAATTGTCATAATTAATTCTGTTATCTATAACCTAACAAAAAAAATAATCAAGGCGAATTGAACTAAACCAAATCAAAGATGAAATAATTTTCTTGAAGCATCGTCAAATATATCGATCAAGCTGAAGTAAGACAGAACTAAATAGTTGACTTAATTGCACTACTATTTTTCATCATTCAGTTAATCGGTTAAAATTAGTAAATATTGTTTCACAGAATAGTAATAATAATTTTCATCTGAAAATTAATGGGCAACAAACAACAGATTCTAATCGTTAAAACAATGATAAACATGTATAATAAAACTGTAACCTTTTCCATGCACTCCCGTATATCGGGGTGAACTTTTGATGTGAAGAAACAGTCACCTTCGTCCATATAGAAAAGCTTTATCTCATGAGTATTAACCTGAATATCAATGAGTAAATAACTTGAAAATAAAAAAATTTATCACATTAAAAATTTCCATCCAATCGCAGAAAAGAATGACGAGTTTTGGCACAAGTATCTACTTCGATGTCAAGTCGAGTGATGTAACAAAACTTGATAGAACAACAAAATGCTGAAGAAAAAAAACGACCTTAAAATATTAATACGTTAGGTTAAACTGAAAACAGAACTTTTTAAAATAATAAAACTAGCTTTCCCTCGGTCATTAAATCAAAAAAGTTAGTTCTTTCATGAGTTTATTGGCATTCAAGTCTTTACATTAATTTTACACCAAGTTTTAAAATTACTAATTAATAAACCATTTAATACACGAGGATTTTAAAAACAGGAAAAGTTGTTGCAAGTTAAAAAACGGAAAACAGTCGATCCACAAACGTACGTGCGCACTTGAAAAATAGAACAAAATACAATCGAGTGAATGTTAGGTTTTCACCTTTTAGCACTAGACAACAACACACGTTTAGACGACATTTTCCCCGAGATCGGGGGTTGCCGTTTGGCTACCTATGATGAAACCGAAATACCCCTCGACGCCATCCACATCTGTCATTCGCCTCAGCATCACGCAACCCCGCTTTCACCCTGTCCTTCTCCACCTGCTCTCTCCATCCCAATCGCGGACGACCCCTTCCTACCACTCCTTCAACCTCGAATTCCAACGCTCGCCTAATCCCGACCCTTTCATCCCTTCTCAACACATGTCCATATCACCGCAATCTCGATCTCCTTATCAATGTCACAATGTCCTCATTCAGTCCCATCATTGACATCAGCTCTGTACTATTCCTCCTATCCTTCACTTTAACCCCACACATCATCCTCACCATAGCTCTTTCAGCCCTCTGCAGTACACTTTCCTCCTCTCTCCTCAACACCCAAGTTTCACCACCTTATACCATCGCTGCTCTCACACATGCTTTATATACCCTCCCTTTCATCTTCATTGACCGTTTCTTTCCACACAATACCCCACCCAGTTCTCTAAATTTCATCCATCCCACACGAACTCTAGCCGTAACTGCGCTCAAACATCCTCCATCCGCGTTCAGCTTATCTTCTAAGTAATCAAAGCTTTCCACTCTTTCAATTTCACCTTTTAGCACTAGAACAAACAAAAAATCACCAACGTTATGCTATTTAACCGCTTTCATTTCGCCAGTCATTTTGAATTAAAAAGGTGAAAAAAATAATATTATTAAAAAGGTGTTGATGGGCAATTTCAATATTTCTGAGCGCATTTTTTAAAATGAATGAAAAAATTCCTTAGCTGTGAAATGTGCCTCCAAAATGAGGACGATCGCAAGAAACCAATTGTGATTTAATGATGACAAACTAAATAAAACCCACTTGGAAAGTTGATCAAAAACTCAAAGTCAACTGAGAAAAAATAGTTAGTTCGTTGAAATAAACTGGCATGCTTAGGACACTTGAAAACATCCTTCCAAAATATCATTGACGCTAATTTTGAGCAATTTAAAAAATTTTAATCTCAAACCAATTTGCAGTTGTGACGAAACGAAAATTCAATACAACTGACGACGACCAGTTTAACAAATAAACCAAGAAAAGTATCCATAACATTTCCAAAAACTGTAATTTAGCCAGAAAAAATTAAAGCTGCTTGGTGGTTTGGTTAAGATTTTGAAAGTCTGACAAAATATCTAACACCGAAACGCCCAACGTTTTTCAATTTGTTTCTAAAAGTGAATGACAAGGCGCTATATTCACCCACCAACCAGTTTCAAACCTGAAGTCGAAGATTGAAATTCAAAAGTTTCGTTATAATTTTTTTTATAAAAGTGTAAATTCCATTAAGTTATAAATAAAGTTCAAGCAGTAAACCAGCATCACGGTGTATAACTGAAGTGGCATGATAGTTTAATTCTAAATAACAAGCGCCAATAAAACGATCACGATAATGACGATCTAATCCTAAGAGCCAATAAAACGATCACAATAATGACGATCTAATCATAAAATTAATTTTAACAAACTTTTTGATCCAAATTCAATTTATTTAGATGTTCAGGTAAAACGATCACTTTCAAAATTGGAATGAGATCTGAAGCATATCGACACAAGGGACCAGTAGATAAAAGATTTTCAGTAGTTCCTTTTGCCATCGGATACTGTCCAGAATTGCTTACAACGCCTAAAAAAACAAATTTCATTTAATTACTAAATAAACACTACTTAAATTTTTTAGGTATGTATTAATATAACCAGATGTAGTTTTGTGTCCAAAAACGCCATTGAAAAAAGCCGGCATCCTTATGCTTCCCCCGACGTCAGATCCAAGTCCAAACGCAGAACCAGCGACTGATTGCAAACAACCCTCGCCCCCTGACAGCGTGGAAACAAAATGATATAAATATATACATATATATATATATTTTTACAATATTCTATAAATTCTACCGAATGTTTGGCGTTAATATGTTTGTAGTTCGTTTTTTCGATTTTTCTCACTAAAGTTTTTTGGTGAACGTTTAGTTTATTAAAATTCAAAATAAACTTATTTTTCTAATTCATGCTGCAAATAAGGCCATATTTCGATTCCGAATAAATCATCGTCAGTGCTCCTTGTTGTATATATATGGAAATATTGACTTTGTCAAGATTAACTTTGACGTTGTAAAAATTAACTTTGGTGTTGTAAAATTGAACTTTGATGCGAATTAGGTGTCAGGTTTCTTAATTGGCTGGTCATCTTCTTTGGTCTCCTTTTCTTCATCGATAGCATCATATTCTTCTTTGTCACTATTTACGATGCTAGTTTTTATTACTTCTTTGTTTTCGTTGTTGGTTAAGCTCCNGGGTTGGATGTGAGGTGTACAACAAAAAATAC